TGAGGCGCTCCACTGCTGCTGCTGCTGCTGCTTTCTCAGCTTCGGGGTCGTGCTGCTGCTGCTGCTCCTCAAATGCTTCCTGCTGCTCCTGCTGCTGCTGCTGCAGTTGCTGCTGCAGCAGCCGGCCCTTTGCAGCAGCTGTCAGCGTCAGATAGGCTTTTGTTGCTGCCCATAGCAGCACCCGCTGCACTGAAGGCCGCAGCGACGAGTCTTGAGCCTGCAGCAGCAGCAGCAGCAGCAGCAGCAGCAGCAGCAGCAGTAGTGGTGGAAACAGCAGCGGGAGAAGCAGCGAAGCGGCAGCAACGGCATCAACGCCGCAGCAGCAGCAGCAGCAGCAGCAAAACTGCTCTACATTGGTGCTCATAGCCCGAAGTGCCCCTCTCTAGGGTTTAGGGTTTAGGGTTTAGGGTTTAGGGTTTAGGGTTTGCGCTAACCACGGCAATTAGGCAGCAAACTGCGTCCTCAATGAAATGAATGCCAGCAGCAGCAGAAGCAGCTCCTCTAGACAGCTGCTTGTGGTACTCCCCTGAGACACAGCAGCAAACCTGCTGCTGCTGCTGCTGCTGCTGCTGCTGCTGCTGCTGCTGCTGCTGCTGCTGCTGCTGCTGGCCATTTGTTCTTGGGAGCATGGGTGCAGCATAGTATTCAAATAGGACTGGAAATTACAAACTATTCTTCATCCTTTTGTTAATTTTAAATTAAATTAAATTAAATTAAATTAAATTAAATTAAATTAAATTAATTGTTTTAAATTTAAAAATAAAACAATTGAGGAGAAGAGCCTACCTACGATCCAGCCTGCTGCGCGGATGATCTCGGGGTGTATGTACACCTGGTTCGCAACAGCAGCACCGCTGCTGCTGCTGCTGCTGCTGCTGCTGCTGCTGCTGCTGCTGCACCCGTTGGTGGGGTTGTTGTTATGAATGGCCCCGGAGTCGCAGTCTAAAGAGCCGCTGCTGATCAGGGCCTCGCGGTGCTGCTGCCGCAGAGCTCTAAGGACATGCAAACTGTTGCTGCTGCCGCTGCTGCTGCTGCTGCTGCTGCTGCTGCTGCTGCGGCCCTTTGGCTTCGCTGCTGCTGCAGTCTCCAGCAGCAACATGCACAAATGCGTGCTGCAGGGCCTCACTTCGGGCACGCGCACTGTTATGTCCAGCAGCTGCTGCGCAACAGCAGCAGCAACAGCTGTCCCACCGCTGCTGCTGCTGCTGCTGCTGCTGCTGCTGATGTTGCAAGCAATGTCAACCAGCACCGCCACATACCACTCAAAGTCCTCAATCAGCTCATAGTCGCTGCTGCAGCAGCAACAGCAGAAGAAAAAGAAAAGAGAGGGCAGTAGACAAAGAAGCAGCAGCAGAAGCAGCAGCAGCAGAAGCAGCAGCAGCAGAAGCAGCAGCAGCAGGGCAGCAGCAGCAACGCACTGCAGCAGCTAAAACCAAGAATGTGAACCTGCCCGCAGCAGCGCCGAAGCAGCCCCAGCAGCAGCAGCAGAAAAGCAGCAGCAAAGCAGCAGAGCAGCAACAGCAGCAAAGCAGCAGAGCAGCAACAGCAGCAAAGCAGCAGCCACAGAAGAGCAGCAACAGCAGCAGAGCAGCAGCTGCAGCAGACTTACTCTACAGCCATTTGCAAGACGGGCAGTATGAAGTCTTCAGGGCTAACGAAAGCAGCTGCAGCAGCCGCAGCAGCAGCGCCCTTGGCGCCAGTGCTGCTGCTGCTGCTGCTGCTGCTGCTGCTGCTGCCGTTCGCTGCGTCAAAAGCAGCAGCCAGCAGCCGCTCGCAAACCACGGGAAAAGTAGCAGCAGAAGCAGCAGCAGCAAGCAGCGCCACCCCCACTCGCCGCATTGTTGAGTCCACTCCTTTGGCGCTCTGAGCAGCAACAGCCACACATCTTGCTGCTGCTGCTGCTGCTGCTGCTGCTGCTGCACTTGCGAGCTGCTGCTGCGGTGCAGCAGCAGCAGCAACGGCGGCGCCGGCGCGGAAGGCACCCCCCCGCCGCAGTAGCAGCAACAGCAGCAGCAGCAACAGTGCCAGCTAAACAACCACAAGCAGCAGCAGCAGCAGCAGCAGCAGCAGCAGCAGCAGCAGCAGACCTGCAGCATTTGCTGCTGCAGGTCAGGCAGCAGCCGCAGCAGCGGCTGCACCAGCTGCCGCCTTTTAGTAAAAGTGCGCAGCAGCAAATCGAGAGCCAAAAAGCGAATATTAGGGTCTGGGGAGGAGAGCAGCAGCTGCAGCTTTTGGCACAGCAGCTGCAGCAGCTGCTGCTCCACGCTGCTGCTGCTGCTGCTGCTGCTGCTGCTGCTGCTGTTGGTTGCTGCTGCTGCTGCGGTGTCGCCCGTCACGGCGGTGGCTGCGGCTTGCTCCGCGGTGGAAACCGCCGTTGCTGCTGCTGCTGCTGCTGCTGCTGCTGCTTCTATGGGCGCATGCAGCAGCAGCAGCCGCAGGGCCTCGACCTCCACGCTCTTTGCCTTGGTTTGCTGCAGCAGCAGCAGCAGCGGCTGCAGCAGCTTGGGAGGCAGCCGCGGCTCTGCTGCTGCCAGCAGCAGGAACAGCTGCAGCAGCTTAATGCTGAGCCAGTTGCTGCTGCTGCTGCACAGCAAATGAAACAGCGGAGGCACCAGCAGCAAAACTGGCTGCGGATCTGCTGCTGCTGCCTGCAGCAAAGCTGTAGCCAAGCAGCAAAGAACTCCCGTGTCTTGCTCCTGCATTAGCTGCTGCTGCATGCGCAGCAGCACGTGCTGCAGCACGGCGCTGCTGTCGTCTTCTGCTGCTGCTTCGGACTGCGCAGCAGCAGCGGCTGCTGCGGCGCCCAGCCGCAGCCGCTGCTGCAGCCGCTGCTGCTGCGCCTGCTGCTGCTCGCGCAGCTGCTGCAGCAAAAAGCTGCAGCAGCAAAGTGCTGCCTTCCGCCGAATGTAAGGCCGCGAGGAGCCAAGCAGCAGCAGCACATCTGGCAGCAAAGAGCCCGCCATTTCCCTCGAAAGAGAGACGCAAGAAAGTGTCTGCAGCGCCAAGCCTGCAGCAGCAGCAGCAGCAGCAGCAGCAACAGCAGCAGCAGCTGCTGCTGCTGCACAGGTGGCGGTGCAGCGGCAGCAGGGCAACTGGTAGTGCTGCAGCAGCAGCAGCAACTGCAGCAGCAGCAGCAGCAGCAAGGCCCGTCCACAGGAGGCCCTGGAAAGGAGCCGATGGAAAGCGAAGCTAACGCAGGCAGCAGCAGCAACAGCAGCAGCAGCAGCAGCAGCAGCAGCAGCAGCAGCAGCAACAGCAGCAGCAGCAGCAGCCTCACCTGTCTCATACATCTGGCTGCTGCTGAGGTCCTTCTTGAAGAGGTTGATGGTCAAGAGCGAGAGCTCGGCCAGGGGCCAGTGCTGCTGCTGCTGCTGCTGCTGCTGCTGCTTGGCCTTGGAGGCGTCTGCTGCTGCTGCTGCAGCACCAGCAGCAAAAACAATTGCTGCTGCTGCATAGGCTGGCCGCTTCAAGTAATACTTTTGTGCTGCCATTCCTTCTATAACAGCAAAAGCAGCAAAAGAAATATCCACTCCCAGCATTTGCAGGTAAATGAGTTTTTGGAGGGCCACGCTGCGTGCTGCTGCTGCTGCTGCGCTGCTGCTGCTGCTGCTGCTGCTGCTCGCTGCAGACAACTCATTCTTCACTTGCTGCAAGCTGCTCGCAATAAACTCTGCTTCCTGCTGCTGCTGCTGCGCCGACCGCAGGCCCTTTATCAGGGCCTGCAGGGACCCAGACTGATACAGCATCTTAGCAGCAAAATGCTGCTGCTGCTGCTGCTGCTGCTGCTGTTGCTGCTGCTGCTGTTGCTGCTGCTGCAGTGGTAAACAGAGAGTCACCGACTAGGGAACGGCTGCTGAGGCATGCAGGCTGAGTGCAGCAAATCGTTGATGGGCCCTTGCTGCTTGTTCCTGCTGCTGCTGTTGCTGCTGCTGCTGCTGTTGCTGCTGCTGCTCTTGTTGCTGCTGCTGCTGCTGCTGTTGCTGCGGGAGCCAAACTCCATGGAGCCGATGTCACCGCTGCCGCCGCCGCTGCTGCAGCTATTGCGGCAAATGCTGCTGCTGCTGCTGCTGCTGCTGCTGCTGCTGCTGCTCGTGTTATGAGTCAGTGCGGCTGCGTTTGTTGGGGCCAAAGACGCGACAAAGAAAAGCGAGGAAATAAAATTCAGCGACAAAATAGAAGCAGCAACTTCTGCTGCTGCTGCTGCTGCTGGCTGTTGCTGCTGCTGCTGCTGCTGCTGTTGCTGCTGTTGCTGCAGCGGTCCATAAGGCTAGGCGAGCGCAGACGTAGGCATGCGTCAGCAGCAGCAGCAGCAGCAGCAGCAGCAGCAGCAATAAAAGTGCCTTGCTTCTGTCCTTGATTGTTATTTTACTTTAAAGAAAAGATTATTATTTTAATTATTTGGTAGCAGGAGCACAGACAGTGCCAGCTGCTGCTGCTCGGGGGCCCCTGCTGCTGCCGACGGCTGCTGCTGCTGCTGCTGCTGCTGCTGCTGCTGCTGCGTCCGCAGCTTGTCTTCTTGAATTAAATAGAATTAAATAATTAAACATTAAAAAAAACTAAAAAGAGAAAGCGAAATAACCAAAAACGGCCCGGAGCCTCGGCTGGGGGCCCCAGGCCTGCTGCAGCTGCAGCAGCAAACAGCAGCAGCAAAAGAAAATAATTTATTTCCCCTTTTTGTTGTCTTCGCTGCAGTGGCTGCGGTGTACGTACACCTGAGAGCCGGCCTCCCCTGCCCCGAGCGGCAGCAATGAACAGCATCAGCAACCACGGCCCCCAGCAGCAGCAGCAGCAGCAGCAGCAGCAGCAGCTGCTGCTGCTGCAGCAGCAGCTGCTAGCTGCTGCTGCTGAAAGCGCCTGTAGATCCTACGCCCCCTTTTCGCAGCTGCAGCAAGGCGTCAGCGTGCTGGGCACTGACGGCAAAATATATACAGGTAACAAAAGCTGCTGCTGCTGCTGCTGCTGCTGCTGCTGCTGCTGCTGCTGCTGCTGCTGCAGCTACTTCACCTCTGCTGCTGCTGCTGCCGCATTTGCTGCTGCTGCTGCTGCTGGCGATGAGGGTGCAGCCGTTTCTTGTTGCTGGTGGTGCTTCTGAGCCTGCGGGTATTGCTGCTGTTGTCTGTGCAGCAGCAGTCTCTGCTGCAGCGACTGCTGCTGCAGTTGCTGCTACTGCAGCACTTGCTGCAGCAGCAGCTGCTGCTGCTTGTGGGGTGTATGTACACCTTGTTCTCAGGCTGCACCTTCGACTCTGCTGCTTTCCCCTGCAGCATTTGTGCTGCTCATGTTGCTGCAGCACAAGCAGCAGCAGCAGGGAGAGCTAGGGTTTGTTGCTTCCCTCGCCGAGTTCCCTGCTGCTGACTAGGGTTTAGGGTTTAGGGTTTAGGGTTTAGGGTTTAGGGTTTAGGGTTTGTGCGCGCAGGTGGCTGCGTGCGGCGTGGTGCTGCTGCAGCAGGAAGCAAGCAGCAGCAAAGATGAAGAGGATTTAAAAGACAAAAATGAAAATAAAAATAAAAATAAAAATAAAAATAAAAATAAAAATAAAAATAAAATTAATTTAATTGTGGGGCCCCTCAAAGGCTGCTGCCTGCAGTGGCTCTGCGACTACGCGCATGCAGACGAGGTGTACGTACACTTCACGTTGCTGCAGCAGCCCGCAGCAGCAGCAGCAGCAGCAGCAGCAGCAGCGGCGGGAGGCCCAGACTGCCGAGCTGAGCCAAATGGCGTCGCCAACCCAGCAGCAGCAGCAGCAGCAACAGCAGCAGCAGCAGCAGCAGCAGCAGCAGCAGCAGCAGCAAAGATTAAGACTTTCAAGCTTTCTGAGCTGCTGCCTCTGGCTTCTCCTCTTTCTTGTCCTTTTCCTCCTCTGCTGCAGCCCCTCGCAATAGACAGTCTCACCACAGAAGAGGGTAGCTGCTGCTGCTGCTGCTGCTGCTGCTGCTGCTGCTGCTGCTGCTGCTGCTGCTGTTTTTGCTGCTGCTGTTGCTGCTGCTGCTATTGCTCTTGCCGCTGTCGCCGTTTTTGCTGCTGGTGCTTTTGATGCTGCTGTTGCTGCTGCTGCTGATACCACTACTGCTTCTGCTGCCGCTGCTGCTTTTGCTGTTGCGGCTCCCGTTGCTGCTGCTGCTGCTGCTGCTGGCGTTCTGTTTGCTGCTGCTGCTGCTGGCGTTCTGTTTGCTGCTGTTGCTGCTTTTGCTGCCGGCGCTCTGCGCGCTGCTGCTGCAGCTGCTGCTCGTAGATGGCGTCGCTTGAGAGCTTGCTGCTGCTGCTGCTGCTGCTGCTGCTGCTGCTGCTGCTGCTGCGCGTAGGGGCTGCTGCTTCCGAAGAAGTGCTGCTGCTGGTGCGAGCAGCAGCAGCAGCAGCAGCAAAAAGCTGCTGCAGCACTTCAGGAGTTGCTGTTGGCTGCGCTGCCCAAACTGAAGGCGCAGTCGTTGTGGGGGCCAACGCAGAAACGAGTGTAATAGGACTTGGGTTTGTTTTTAATTTAATTAAATTAATTTAATTAATTTAATTAAATTAATTTAATTAATTTAATTTAATTTAATTAATTTAATTTAATTAATTTAATTCATTTTAACTGATTTAATCCACTTGCGCAGCCGTTCTACTGCACTTCGTTTGCTGCTGCAGCTTGCTGCTGCAGCTTGCTGCTGCAGCTTGCTGCTGCAGCTTGCTGCTGCAGCTTGCTGCTGCAGCTTGCTGCTGCAGCTTGCTGCTGCAGCTTTTTGACCGTTCATTTGCTTTCCACTTCACTTGGAACCCAGACTTGTTGTTCTTTGTGTTCTATTTCTCACTTCTTGGGCACTGCCAGTCAGTTCTTTTGTTGTACTTCTCATTGCTTGGGCCCCGGCAATTAGTTTGGCGCAAGGCCGCCACCGCTGCTGCTGCTGCTGCTGCAGCTGCTGCAGCAGCTGCTGCTGCTATTGCTGCTGCTACTTCTGTTGCTGCTGCTCCCCAGGTGCTGCTGTTGTGCTGCTGCTCAAGCACCCCGTCGATAACATACTTCC